GAATTTGGACTTTATCCTAGGGGTAGTAGGCTAAAACCATCTTATTTTTTTTAAAGCAGAATGATGAGATTTGTGCTATAGGAAGATCACAATTCAGGAAGATTGGAGAATGGATCCGAGAGCGGAGATGGGGAATACAGCAGGAAGGGCTTGGAGGGGCTGTTGTCAGGAATGCAATTTTGTACACCATATTAATCAGATCGCTGAAATAACAGATAACTTTAGAATTCCAGTGGCTCCTAACGATAAATCCTCGTTTCTGGGTCGTGTTACTGTAGTCTCAGCAGGTTTGCTGGTGCTCTGTTTCCAGCTGTGCCTCTGCCGTGGGCTCTGCTCCACGCATATTTCCCATGCAGGGACCCAGGCTGAAGGAGCATGCCCATTTAGGGACATGCCATTCTCGTGCAGAAGGGGAAGTCTAAGAGCTGGCAGAAACTTGGGGCCGTAGATTGAAGATGGCTGCAAATTCTTTCCTCCTATTGAGAGGTGGAGTCTTATCCCCCTCCCTTCAGTCTGGGCTGACCTTAGGTGATTCGTTTGTCCAGGGAGATGTGGTGGAAATGACATTCAAAGACTTCCCAGGGTGGATCATAAGAAACCTTGCAGCCTCTGCCTGGGCTCTTGGAACACTCCCTCTTGGAATCCAGCTCCCATGCTGTGAGGAAGCTCAAGCTGCCCTGTGGCAAGATCCTGGGCCCTCAGTGGACAGCCCTAGCTGAGCTTCCAGCGGACCGGAAGCTCCAGCTTGCCAGCTCTGTGATGGGCCATCTTGGAAGTGGGTCATCCGGTGCCACCCTACCTGATGCCACATGAAGCAGAGTCAAGCTGCCCCTGCCCTGTCCTGCCCAAATGGAGATTTGTGAGAAAAATAAATGATTAGTTTGAAGCCATTAAATTTTGGGGTGTTTTGTTACACAGCAGTGGATAACCAGACCACTTGGGACGCCGCTTAAAACTTTTCTTCCTCAGCTTGCATCAGCGGGCTGGGGTGTGCTGAGGGGCGTGAGTAATCGTGGAAGCCAACGCAACACGCCTTAAAGGGCGGGCATCAGGTGCTCACAGGACATCTGGAGAACGCAAATAATGTAAAAACGTTTGTGACAACAAAGATGTTTCTCTTATTTTCTGATCAGCTCTCAGTTATTCAGAAAATTAAGATAACTAGACCAGCCTCTTCCCTGAGTGTCACCGTTTTGAGTTCTGCTTTTCAGTTTCACCCGCGTCACCTTATCGTTTCAGCCCTTGCTTGCTGTGGAGTCGTGACAACCTTTGCGCTGTTACTTGCTTTTTGCATAATAGTGAAAATGAATTTTCTAGCACTCCTTCATCCTCTCTGCTTCCAGAGTGGCAAGGCAGTGAAGGTAACTGAAAGTCAGTCATATCTGTCCCTTTTGTCTCATGGTTCCAAGTTCTTTACCCCTCTCCGTGTCCAGTCCTCCTACATCCAACCTGTTACTAGAACTCCTGACAACCTCACATGCAGTTAAGATGATTCGGAAGAAGAGAAACAAGAGTCAGAAGCATTGGCAACCTCAGTCATCTGACTGGGTAGCTGATGGGCTGTTGAGATTTCTGTTCCCCGTCGGTGCTGAGCTTCCGCTTGCCACACACTGTTTGCTATAGGGACGGGCCACACGAGCTCATTTAACCTGGTGTCTTTCACTCCTGGGCTGCTGCTTGGATGTGAGTTTTTAGTTGAGCAGAGCAGTTACTCATTGTCTGCTGTTATAAGTTGAAACATCAAGTCAAGAGCCTTAGTTATTTGACAGATTTCTGCATGCTGCGTAAGGGAGGAAATCTCTTTGTTTAGGGCCAACCCGGGCTTCCTTAGCTTTGATCTTTGGGAGTAAGCCTTTTGCTTGACTTCCCCTTTCTTCTCTACCCCTTTGTCTCCATCTCGACGTGCAAATTCGAAGTGTCCTGTTTGCCTTCATGCACTGGAAGGCAAACACCCCTGGACTGAGTATCAGTGACAGCAGGGCTTTGCTTTGATCAGAGCACCCAGCGCTGCTTAAAGGCGTCTGCATGGTCTGTGGCTCATGGACCTGGCTCCTAGAAAAAGGAAACGCATTTAGGTGAGGAGACAGTTGGCCGGGCTGAGAAACTTGATCAGGGATGTGTGTATATATTGTTGCTTGGCCTCTTCCTGTCCTTCCTCCTCCTTTGTTTCTCTCCCGAGCCTCTCCTTCAGAGGTGTGTGAGAATTTAATTGTGGGCTCCTTTTACACTAAGTCAGCGCCGGCCACAGCAGGGTGCTAAAGCGGTGTTTTAGCAGCTGAGTTCTGGGCTGAGTCTCCACTGGCTGAGCGTTTCTCCTCCTTTGATTGCCAGATAGCTCTGGGGACAGTGATGCATTTGAGTTCCTGCACAAGGCTGAGGTCGGTGCTGTTCCTTTTCATGTATCCCACTCACCCTCATCTGAAAGGTCCGTGCTGCGTGCCAGGATGTTAGTGTGTCTCCTCATCCTCCTGTACTGGCATGCTTTCCTTCATTCTCAAAGCTGGAAATCAACTGAATATCTGTCCTTGGTCAAAGACGTCATTTTGGAAATGTAGAATTCTACTGAAACATCAGTCAGGCCTGACCCTTCGAGGTGAATCCCACTCACACTTCAGCTGTATGTTTGGGGGGAGGTGGGAGAAGTAGGTGATAAAGTGGAAGCAAGGCTGCAGGTAGAGCTAAGAGGAAATTCGGAGGTTTCTCTTTCTCCAAATGTTCTACACCAGTTAGCGAGTTGACCATAACAGCTGGAATTTATGATTTTTCCCTGTAAAGCAGTCTTTCTCAACTGTTTTTTTTTTTTCATTGTTGTTTCCATAAGGAGAAAAATTAAGTTCCCTGTAAGTTCCCTCTAAGGAGAGAAATGAACTACTAAGGGATAAGATTTTGTGGGGTAGGGTTGAGCCTTGGAGGACCACAAACTGTTGTGATGTCTAAGATTGTTTTCAACTTCCCCCAACCCAACCAATTTTTGCCCACTTGGGCGAGGGTGGAATGTGGCTTCTCCTGAGGACACTTGCTCTAAGGACTCTGTTTTAGAATAACAAGAGCACCCCCTTATGGACCAGGCACTTTATAGATTATCCCATTTAGTTCTTCCAATAACCTTCCAAGGTAGGTGCTCTTATCCTCTCACGTTGCAGACGGGAAGTTGAGGCACAGGGAAGTTGAGTGGCTTGTTCAGGTCACACAGCTGTTAACCAGAGGAGCCAGGATTCGAGTCTTGGAATTAGGACTCTAGAGTCCTCTTACTAACTAGGTTATCTTGGAAGAGTATAGAAGCAAGTAGACTACCTGGAGTCTTTTCTTTTAAAAAAATTGAGATATAATTCACAAACCATAAAATTTACTCTTTTAAAGTATATGATTCAATTCAATGGTTTTTATTTTTTTATTTTTTTTTATTTCAGCATATTATGGGGGTACAGATGTTTAGGTTACGTATGTTGCCCTTGCCCCCCCCCCGTCCGAGTTTCAAATATGTCCATTCTTCGGGTGGTGCGCATTGCACTCTTTGTGTATGCAAATACCCGTCCCCTCCTCCCTCCTCCCCTCTCCCCCCTCCCAAGTGGTTTTTAGTATAGTCACAAAATTGTGAAACCATCACCACTGTCTAATTCCAGAACATTTCATCACTCCCAAAAGAAACCACATACTCATCAGGAGTCTCTGCCTACGGCCCCAGTTCCCAGCCCCTGGCAGCCACTAATCTGCTTTCTGACTATTTTTGCCTCTTTTAGATATTTTATTCTATTTCAAATAGAATCGTATTAATACGTGACCTTCAGTTATTGGCTTCTTTCACTTATCGTAATATATTACAAAAGTCATCCATGTTGTAACATGTATCAATACTTCATTCCTTTTTTATGGCTGAAAAATAGTCCATTGTACACAGTTTATTTAGCCATTCATTTGTTGATGGATATTTGGGTTGTTTTCACTGTATGAATAATGCTGCTGTGAACATTTGTGTACAAGAGTTTTTGTGTGGACATATGTTTTTAATTCTCTGAGGTATTTACCCAGGAATGGAATTGCTGGATCATATGGTCACTCTGTTTAACTTTTCGAGGAACCTGCAAACTCTTTTCCCAAGCAGCTGTGCTACTTTTCATTTCTACCATCAGTGTGCAATTTTTCCCCATCCTCGTCAACACTTGTTATTATCTGCCTTTTTTTAATCATAGCCATCCTAGTGGGTATGAAGTGGTATCTCATTGTGGTCTTTTTTTTTTTTTTTTAAGGTTTCAACTAAACCTTTATTGCACTCTTACTGTAGGCAGCTGCTAACACCCTCAAAATACAAAGCTGAATAACACACAACTTCACCTTCAAGGACTGCAGAGAGACCAGCTATATAAAAACAATTTCGTGGAAGCATGTAGGAGAGAACAGTAATCTAAGTGAAAAAACACACTAGGGGATTTGAGATGGATATTTCGCATAAGCAAAGTTCAGAGGCTTGAAAATACTGTCGCCTAAAAATCTCACATTTCACCTACTAGCCCTAGTTACTCTGTAGTCACCGTGCCTTCAGCCATCTTCTGCCTCGTCTATTTTTGCCACTGTGGACTCCCTTGGCTCTAGTTTATTCCTCCTATCTCCTACTTTTCTGGGGGAACATTTTAGCAAAGCTATTTCAAAAACGTGGTAAGGGCCGGGTGCAGTGGCTCACGCCTGTAATCCTAGCTCTCTGGGAGGCCGAGGCGGGCGGATTATTTGAGCTCAGGTGTTCGAGACCAGCCTGAGCAAGAGCGAGACCCCGTCTCTACTAAAATTAGAAAGAAATTAATTGGACAACTAAAAATATATAGAAAAAATTAGCCGGGCATGGTGGCGCATGCCTGTAGTCCCAGCTACTCAGGAGGCTGAGGCAGGAGGATCGCTTGAACCCAGGAGTTTGAGGTTGCTGTGAGCTAGGCTGACGCCACAGCACTCTAGCCAGGGCAACAGAGTGAGACTCTGTCTCAAAAAAAAAAAAAAAGCATGGTAAGTCTAACTGATCCAATAATTTTACTCATAGAAATTTATACTAAGGAAACAGGAATGCTTTCAAAATCATAAATTACTTGTTATTTATATTAGCATAAAAATTTTCACCTTAAATGCTTAACAGTAGGGTACTGTTGGATAATTTAAAATACATCCACATAAGAAATTATTAAACCATTAAAATTTGTTTTTCAAGGAATAATTAATAACAAGGTAGATAACATGTTTATCTAACACGTAATTTTGTCACTGCAGCTAAAGCAAAACATCCTGTTCACTAGGTAAAAAGGACCTCCTTTTATGTGTGTATTTCAGTGCAATTTAAAAAATACTGTAATTGTAATTTCAGAACTTCAGAATTTAAATAGGTGCCAGTGTTCTCTCCTTTTTTCATATGGGCAAAGAAAATTCCTTTGAAAACCACTTGATGCTTGGGCAAAATTTCCACACGTATCTTCCTCAGGATCACTTTGGAGAGTCTTCAATATTCAGATACAAGAGAAGCTTCAATTCAGCCTTTCAGAGTAGACATTCCAGTTCGCATAATCTCATCAACTAAGAGAATGTTGGTGACGATCACAGTGCAGGAGTGACGAAGCTGTTTCTTTACACAATAGTTATCCCATACGCCTAGTTCTGCTGCCACCATTGGCTCACCTGTGTTCAACTCCACACCCACAAGTTGACCTGATTCTGAATGTTCAGCTTGAATTTTAACTAACGTTTCCTGAAGGTCAGAACCAGAGTTCTGAGCAAGAACCTTGGGGATGATGAGCAATGCATCAGCAAATGCTTGGACTCCAAGTTGGGCCCTACCCTTTACACTGGGCTTATATTTAATCAGGGCTTCTGCCTTTGCCACTTCTACCGCACCAGCACCTGGAACCACACAGCCATCATCAATAGCATTTTTGACCGCCCTCAAGCCATCTCTTATTGCATCTTTGATTTGAGTGAGTGTGTGCTTATTTGGGCCTTTGACCAATAATGTGACAGAACGAGGATTGTTACATTTCTCAATAAAGGTGAACTTCTCTTCTCCCAATGTGTACTCATAGACAAGTCCCGCATGTCCCAAACAGTCAGGATTTAGGTCATCAAAAGAATTTAGAGCTACTCCACCACAAGCAAGAGTCAGCCTCTCCATATTTCTCTCTTTAGCTCTGCGCAGAGCTACTATGCCTTCTTTTGCAAGAGCATCTAAGGAAAAGGGGTCAATTCCCTTTTGGTTAATAACAACAAATCCTTTATCTGAATCACCACAAACTTTCTTTTTCAGTTCTATTATTTTTTTTAACTCTATCTTCAATGAATTTTCTTGCAGCTTTTACTAGTTTTTCTCTCTCTTCTGCACTCTTGTAAAAAAAAGCCAGAATTCACTTCTGTTTTTTCATATTCTAATGACACATTGCACGTGAGGATGTAGGCATCTTCTACTCTTTTCTTCATATCAGGATGCTGGGCTCCATGGTCCAAAACAAGCCCTCTGATTAAGCTTGAGTCAGTTTCAGATTTATGTTTCATCTCCATGATCTCAACAATGAAGAGATCAATAGGTTCATCTTGTCTTTTGATGGCCAAAATGGAGTCCACTACAGCCTCTGTTAAGACATTTGCAAGTTCAACATGAACTTTAGTACGAAGAGATGTTCTGGCCACATCTATAAGTGTTTCCCTGTCCATCTCTCTGCTTACTTTGACTTGTTCCAAAAAGTGAAAGGCCTTTTCCTTTGCAGCTTCAAATCCTTCAGTGATTATTCTGGGATGAAGCCCTTCAGGAATGTAGAGATCCGCCTGTTTCAGCAGCTCTCCAATGATTAGGACATGGAAGTAGTACCATCACCAGTTATGTCATCTTGGGCTGTTGCCACTTTTGCTATTAAGGAGGCTGTTGGGTGTTGAATTTGCATGTTGTGAAGCAGTACATTGCCGTCTTTGGTAAGCTTGATGTCTCCGGCGCCAGAAACAAGCATCTTCATGGTGCCCTTAGGCCCCAAGTTGGTTCTGAGCACGTCCTGCAGCCCCAGAGCCCTGCTGATGTTGACTGCCAGCACCGCCTGGGCTCGGGCCACCTCGGCCTTGGGGTTCAGAGTCTTCACGGCCGCCATAGCTGATCGAACAGAAGAAGAGGGGGAAAGCCGGCGTTTGGAGTGCCCAGAGCTGGCTCGGTGTGGCTGGGAGGTACTATCCGGGTCTTCTGGAAAAGTTGGGCGCGCTGGGCCTGCCCCCCGGCGTGCCCACACTCTGCTGCCATTGGGCCACAGGTTGGCCGGCCACCCCCATTGTGGTCTTGATTTGTATTTCCTTAATGACTAATGATGTTGAGCATCTTTTCACGTGCTTATTGGCCATTTATATATTTTCTCTGGAGAAATGCTTATTCAAATCCTTTGCCCACTTTTAAATTGGGCTGTTTTCCCTTTTATTGTTGAGTTGTAGGAGTTCTTACATGATTTGCAAATATTTTCTCCTATTTTTGTGTTGTCTTTTCACTTTCTTGATAAAGTCCTTTGATGCACAAAGGTGCATCAAATTTTAAGTCCAAATTATCTATTTTTTCTTTCGTTGCTTGTACTTTTGGTGTCATACCTGAGAAACCATTGCCTGATCCAAGGTCATAACGATTTATTTATGCCTGTGTTTTCTTCTAAGAGTTTTGTAGTTTTAACTGTTACGTTGAAGTCTTTGATCCACTTTGAGTTAATTTTTGTACGTGGTGTACCTGGTGTGAGGTCGGGGTCCATCTTCATTCTTTCGCATGTGGACATCCATTATCCAGTTGCTCAAGCACCATTTGTTGGAAAGACTATTCTTCATTGAATTGTCTTGGCACTTTTTTTATTGCCTGTAAACCTGTGAGTTTGGATCTCTGCTCTCGGTTCTGTTCCACTGATCTGTATGTCTGTCCTTACGCCAGTTGGACCTTGCCTTTTGTAGCCCACGGTTCCTGGATGAGCCAGTACCCTCAGGGCAGAAGTGGCCTGGGTTGCGGGGATCCCCCTTCCCTCTGTGGGTTCAGGATTTATGTAGCAGTTGGCCTAACGGTTCTCCATCATCTCGTCAGCTCTGCAGTGCATTTAAGATGATGTTTTATTTATTTATTTTATCCAGCATTTTGTCGACGGTTTTCAGGAGGAGTTAGTTCTTAAAACCTCGCCCACCAATATGAAAAATGGAATTCAAAATTATATATCTCTAACTATGTCACGTAGAAGATATTTTTAGGAGTAGGGGAATCATTTATGGCATCTTAGAAAAAGACTACGATGCTCACTGTTGCTTTTAAAGCTACATTTGTAATTAAAGCACCTTTCATTAATTGAGTACTTTATTCTATCCCAAGCTTCCTACTGGGGGCATTATGTATACTCTTTAATCTCATTAAAACACAAACTTCTAAGATGACCAGTATTAGCAGCATTCCTGTTTTACAAATGAGGAAGCTGAGTGGTTCGGGGCTTGCCTAAGGACAGACACAGATGATTGGCTGAGTTTGACTTCTCAGCCAGGCTCTGAACCCCAGCAGGCTCCCTTCTCCTTTGGACACCCTAAGAGAGATTATCGGTATTCCATGTCCCAGTTTAAAATTTTTCTTTTGTAAAAACTGGAAAGCTTAAAGGACCCAACTTTTCTGTTCTCCTTTTCCTGTCCCCCTTGCGGTGGGAACGTGAACTTCCTTATAGGCAGGAACTGGGGAGTCCTTGCCGGTTGTTCTCACGTTTCTGTGAGCGCAGGAATCCATGGGGAAGCATGTTTAACAGTCCCAATTCCTGAACTCCAACTCCAGAGAGTCTCGTGCACCAGACAGGGAGGGACACGTGCTCAGGAACCTGCAGGTCGAACGTGCTGCTCTCTCTCATTCTCTTGCACTTGGTCTTGGACCACACTTTGAGAAAAGCTGGTCCACGGGTTACATTTTAAATAACTGGATGTTGTGCACGTGTTCTCTCCTTTTTCCTGTTACTAGGGGGCAATGTTATGTTTTTCTGCTGTCTGGGGAATGGCCCTTTCCCTTTTAGTTCCTTAAAGAAGTTGAGACTTCAGTTATTAATACTTTTAGTTATTTATTTATTTTTTTGAGACAGAGTCTCACTCTGTTGCCCTGGCTAGAGTGAGTGCCTTGGCGTCAGCCTAGCTCACAGCAACCTCAAACTCATGGGCTCAAGCGATTCCTACTGCCTCAGCCTCCCGAGTAGCTGGGACTACAGGCATGCATCACCATGCCCAGCTAATTTTTTCTATATGTTTTTAGTTGTCCAGATAATTTCTTTCTATTTTTTAGTAGAGATGGGGTCTCACTCTTGCTCAGGCTGGTCTTGAACTCCTGACCTCGAGCGATCCTCCGTCTCGGCCTCCCAGAGTGCTAGGATTATAGGCGTGAGCCACTACGCCCGGCCTGTTAATACTTTTAAACGAGTTATATTTAGTGCTTTGTAAGCACTGTTATCAGGTAGAAATGAGAATGTTTGAGCCAAATCAACTTTGATATTAATAAAATGCAATATCCAGTAATTTGTTTTGCCTGACTATAACTTAGTTGTGGGAAGCCTGAAGGAATAATAAAGTATCTGGTTATTTTAGAGAAGAAAAATCTCAACCTCTCTTTTTCTACATCCTCCCTCACCTGCTTTTTCTCAGATTGTAAAGTGGTCAGACTGTTGCCTGCCATTAGCTTGCAGACCTGGGGAGCCTTACCGATTAATTGCTGAAGCAAGCGTGGACAATTTCAGCAAGCTTGGGGTGGCGTTCATGGAAGACAGACTCCAGATGGATAATGGACTCGTACCCCAAAAGATCGTTTGTAGGTGACTTTAGAAAATGTTTTTTCATAGCGGGATGTCATAGGTTATTTGCTTAAGGACCGCCGAGCACTCATATTGCTATGCCTTAAAGGCAATGCTTAGTTTCAGTTTAATTCAACGGGATTGATTTAATCATAATAGTATAACATTCATACATGTGTCAAGATTTTTTTTGGAGGGGGTATATCTTTAGTGCTTATTAAATTTCTTAAACAAGTATTTTCCATAATTGCATTGTACATGAGAAGGCATTCAAATTCAGAACCCATGTAATATTTATTTCGCACAGTTTAATACAATATAACTAGTTTCCAGACTATAGTTTGGACTGAATGGGAAGCACAACTAAGTGTTACTATGAAGTTCTAAATCTAACAGCTTTTTACTTAGAATATGTATGTCAAAATTTTTTGGAACAAATCTTTTTTTAGGCAGCATACAAACTGTTCTTCTTTAATTAAGCTTAAAAACAGACTTTTTATGTCTATAAAAGTCTTCTTCTGTATCATGGGCAAATAAGAATGTCACTTACCTCTGGAAATTTATGCAATCATTAAATTTTCTGATTTGCCACCTGCATGCACCTCATACCATGTCAAACACACAGCAGGTGCTCAATAAATGTTTTTTGAATCAGTGATTGTGAACTTATATTCCAGTCCTGGGACAAGATACTGGAAAGACCCTTCTCATTGATCCTACGGAGTGTCCTGAGAGCGGCTTTTCGCCGGGGTGTGCTTAGATAGACCCTAGAGAGTGTGTCCTTTTCTTTTCTCAGTTTCATTAGCATATAGGAGAATAACACTCAAGAAACTGAATCTATAAATAAGTAGGCAAAATCACCTTCCTGAATCTCACTTTCTTCACTAGTCAATAAGAGGATCTTAGGGTCTCTGATATGTATAAGGAAGATGGTTGTGGGAACTGAGGATTTCACTGGGGGTCCTCCCAGCAGGCAGGAGCAATTAGTGCTTCCAAAGGAGGCCACGGAGTTGAGGTGGGGCTGCAGGAGGGAGCCGTGCAGGGGGCTGTCCTGGAGTGGATGTCATGGAATGCAGAGGGGGCGATGAGATTCTTGAGCTGAACTACATGAAAAACAAGAAGTGTTGACTAATTATCTTTCTTGTTCATGCTTTAGCAGTGCACTTGCAGGACTCTACTCTGAAGGATCTTAAGGATCAGGCCTCAAACAAGCAAGCTCAAATCCTGCAGCCGGACCCTGAACCTGCTCTTGAGATTGAGCCCAAGCAGGACATTATGGAGCACGTTGGCAGAGATGGCCCGAAGGTTCTTGGTGAAGAACCCAAGCAGAGGAGAGGCAGTGCCTCTGGTAGTGAGCCTGCTGGGGACAGTGACAGGGGAGGGGGCTCTGTGGAGCATTATCACCTCCATCTGTCTAGTTGCCATGAGTGTTTGGAACTAGAGAACAGCACCATTGAGTCGGTCAGGTTTGCATCTGCAGAGAACATTCCAGATCTTCCCTATGATTACAGCAGCAGTTTGGAGAGCGTTGCTGATGAGACCTGCCCTGAGACGGAAGGGAGGAGAGTCAACATCACTGGAAAGGCACCCAACATCCTAGTCTATGTGGGCTCTGACTCCCAGGAAGCTCTTGGCCGGTTCCAGCAGGTCCAGTCTGTCCTGGCCGACTGTGTGGACACCGACAGTTACGTTCTCTACCACCTGCTGGAGGAAAGTGCTCTCGGAGACCCGTGGCCAGATAACTGTCTGTTGCTGGTCATTGCCACCAGCGAGTCCATTCCTGAAGATCTGTACCAGAAGTTCATGGCCTACCTTTCTCAGGGAGGGAAGGTGTTGGGCCTGTCTTCGTCCTTCACGTTTGGTGGCTTTCAAATGACAAGCAAGGCTGTACCACAGAAGACGGTCCAGAACTTGGTTTTCTCCAAGTCTGACCAGAGTGAGGTGAAGCTCAGCATCCTAAGCAGTGGCTACGTTTACACGGAGGGTCCCGGAGAGCGGCTTAGCCTGGGCAAGCTCCAGGGCCACCTAGAGAGCGAGGACCAGGACAGGATGATCATCCAAGTGCCTTTTGGAACATGTGGAGGAGAAGCTGTTCTTTGCCAGGTACATCACTTTGATGATCTTCAGGTATCTTGGAGAGGGGATATACTCTTTAGGGCTGTCCACGTAAAAGTTTCAAGAGTTTGTGTGCTGCGGGTTACTGTTGGCTGGGAGCTTTTGCTGCTCGTGAGCAGAAGGTTTCGTTTAGTTTAGGATTTTCATGAATACTGTGATTAACCAAAAGACTTGTGATGGAGGAATGGCCAGGTGTTATGGTCAATTGAGCTTGCTGGTTAACCAAGGATCTTGTTTTCATCTTTACTGGCAATGACCTTTCTAAAATACACTAGTCTACTTTCTTGCTTCAAAGTACACTGTAATTAATATTATCAAGCCTTTATTTAACATAGAAGGTTGAAAGCCTTTGGGTGGTGATTCCAAATGTCAGTGATCAACATGTTAAAATCTTGCAATTGATTGCGGAGGTAGTTTGTGTTAAAAAGATCTCCAAATTCCCAATTCTTTTCTTATGATTCATTCCTTTTAACATCTAAGGGCTGAGAAAAAGGTCAAATGAGAGAATATCGAAATTATTTAGATTTATGGCATATTATTAATGATACACAGGTAATGACAAAATGGAAAGAGATTCAAAGGAAGGTGCCAATTTCCTTCCCATGTTTAGGAGGTCCTTTGGGTCTTCCACTGTTTTTTATTCCATCGTCTTTTTCCTTTTAGCTTTTTGTTTGTTGGTGAACAGTAGCAGGATAGATTATTTCAGAATTCCTCATCATTTACTACCAATCTTTTAATGCTTTAGGGCAGAAGTTTTTGTAAGTGTTAAATGAACACTCACTTGTCCTGAACGATTTGATAATGTAATGAGAAAACTAAGGAGATGTAGATATTTTATTTTGCCCAGAAGCGTTCCCAAGATGAGTGTAACAGATTTTGTTTTACTATGGGGATCTTTTTATTGAGTTAGAGAATTGTTTATTTTTTCGTTTTGTTTTCATTTTGTAATGCCCCCTCTCTTTCTAGCCCTCCTAGAAGCTAAGTCTCTTGGATTTTCAGACCAAACATACTTTAAGATTTTTTTTTTTTTTTTTTCTATTCTAAAGCCTACTCATTTTTTCTTAAGATAATACTCAGCCAAAGATGCTTGGAATTAAGAAATCTGGACATCAGGACAGACAAACATGTACAACCCAAGCAGGTTTCCTGTAGGGCGGCAAACCACATCAGGTAGCTTTTGGAGGCCTAATAAATGTTCTCCTTATCTCTTTCTCTGCAACTATGGTAACCGTAGTAACTGCTCATTCTCAGAAAATCCACTTAAAAACCCAACTTCCTAGAGCCATATTTCAGTTTTGAAGAGCAAATCTTGCCACCCCTGTGCACAGACTTGTACTAGAAAATTGATTTGGCACTGTTGCGATCCATTTCTCCGAGTTACATAGCAACTCTGCTTGCCGCACCGTTTAAAGTGACCCCCTTACTATCATAAAACTTGATACGGCAGTGCATGGCCCTAGGAAAAAAAAGGCAACATGATGCAGCTTCACAAATCAGGTTCAGAGGATTAGAATGTCATTTTTGATTTTAAATGACTTCCAGAGTTCTGTGTGACAGGGTCACTGTTTTCTCCACATGCCTGTGTCTCTCCGATAACTCTCCGAGATCAAAAAATAAATATTATCACAGGCTGGTTAGTTTCCTCTTTCCCTGTTCAATTTCATAGTCGTCATCTTTGTAATAAATCTAGTAATGATGTAACCCAGTAAGAGGCGGCGAAGTACTTCAAGGGCAAAACACAGCTGCACGCTTGGCGGTGGTGTCCCCAGCCAAGTAAGCTGCAGCTTTGATGCCTTTGCCATTCGTAATAGTAAGGAAAAAGGGACAACGTTTGTGTGCCTGTAGTACTGATCAAGTTTGCAGGGAAAATTTAATGCTGTGGATTAATGCTGATATTTGACTATCAGCTGGACCAGGAGTTTGGCATGAAGTTGTCCAAATAAAGTCTCTAAAATGGATCTTAAAAGATTTTGTTTTCTTATTTAGCTTAACACGTGGCAGAAGTGGGTCTGCTTCTGCAGCAGAGTTTCTCGACCATGGCACTATCGACATTTTGGGCCAGGTAATTCCTTGTGGTGAGGGGCAGTCCTGGGCATCTTAGGATGTTGGGCTGCATCTCTGGTCTTTACCCATTAGGTGCCAGTAGCACCCCCTTTCTCCCATCAATGGCTGGAGGCCTTTTTTAGCTTTGGCTTTTGGTCTAGTTAAAAAGCCTTATTTTTAGAAGAAGCCAAGTTACAGAAATAGGCCTGTCACTATGGTAACAACAGTATAACATAAGAGGATGAGACTCTTGTCGGATACCATGGAGGACCAGGAGCACAAATCTACCACGCACACACTCTGGTGTGTGCCGTTTTCTCCGTATTAACTGAGGGTGTAGAACCAGAGGGGGCCTCTTTTCCAGTTAGCGTTGTAGAAGCACCTACATCCTGAGACGGTAAGCAAAGGCAGCCCTCACGGTTTCAACAGCAGCCTTTTCCCTGTCTCCTGAACTTGCAGGCCTGTTTGTAGCGTGATCCTTAGTTTTTCCTCCTCGGCATGTTTCTCACGTGAAAATGAGTGCAGCGCATTTACCGCTTTGCTTTGTGGATAGCCTGTGTATTCACCCCCTGGGTGAGTCCGTGTGCCTCCGATCGCGCCTCCCTTCTCCCCTGGGCTCGAGTGGGAACAGAAGCTGGCTCATTTTATCCTGCCTTACCTGTAAAGGTTAATCTGCGGGATAGCCACGTGCTCACGTGGATTAAACGGGCCCCGCTGTGCTGCTGCTCCACACCGCACCGGCTTGGACCGCGGCAGAGCAGAGGCACGCCTTTAGGGTAGGGACACACTGAGAAGGGCACGGATCCCTCAGAGGGTTTCTCTTTTCTGCCTCGTCCCCTCTCCAGGGCGGTTTAGAGGGCAGCCCTGCCTGCTGCCTCCTGACCGGCACCTCAGTTGTGGGCGCAGCCGCCGCCTGCAGCCGACCGGCTGTAGTTTGGGGACTGCGTTGACCAGGGTTTTGTAGACCTTTTCACATTGCCCTCAACTTAACATTGGGATTATTCTGGGAAATATACTTAGACAGTATATTTGGCTGGGTTAAGGGTTGGGTGGGAATTGAGAGATTTTAAGTTGCCTGAGGGCTGGCACCGTGCTTTTTATTTTCATCGTGCTCTTAGAACATCAGGCTGGATGCTTTGCATACAATCCATGAGACCAAAGCAAAGTAAAGCAGACAGCTCAGTTTGCTCTTCTGGGTACTCAGTCTGGGTACTCAGTGTTCTGGCAGCCTCCAGGCTCTAATGACCAATTAAAATCTGATCTCAGGCGAGCTAGAGGTTCCAGTAAGTTCCTTCATACCAAGACACAGACTGTTGACAGGTGGAGATATTTTAATTTTAACTAGAGAAGAAAGCCTGAAGTGAATACATGAAGTTTCAAATCTTAGAATTCAACAGGAGGAGGGTGGGTGGGAGGGAAGGCCTTTCTGTGTCTGTGAAATCCCAGTCCACCCACAGCGAGTCCTCACTTCATGTCGTCGACAGGTTCTTGGAAACTGTGACCTTAATGGAAGCGACGTATAGCAGAACAATTTTGCCATGCACTCATTGACGTAAACAAGACTGAAGTTCCTACAGCATATATCTGGTCACAAAAACATCACCAAACTTATAAATAAAGACCGAAACACCTCTAATATTAAACATTGAAATAAATGTGAGCTATATGTACCTTTAAGAAAGATCAATAAAAACAAGTAAGATAATTACTTACTGATTCCAGTTCAGGGTCTCAGGTGGCCGGAGCCCATGCAGGCGGGCACCAGTCCTGGCCAGGATGCCGTCCTGTCGCGGGGCACACTCACACCCTCACTGACAGGGACCATGTAGACACTCCAGTTAACCTAACATGCTCAGCTTTGGGTTGTGGGATACCCAGAGAAAACCCACACAGACAGCGGCCCTCGCCAGGAATTGATTTTTTTTTTTTTCCTCATCAACTTTATAACAAAACAATAGTAAACAAAATGATGTTATTCAAGGACCTGATGTATTTTAATTCCTACAAACACTCTCAAAACGATGAATGTGGCTATCTCCCCGCAAGTGTTGTTTTCCATTATGACTAATAGGATGGGAGCTTCCAGCCTGGCCCGGTGCCTCCCTGAGTTTGGGAGCAGCCGGGTTCTCAGCACAACTGTATTTCTAAATATTTGGTCCTATAACCAAGTTAAGTCACTGGGCCACGGTCACATGACTAATGAGTGATACAGATCACCTGGAAGGAGTTTGCTAACTCTCTGGAGTTATTTCCACCGTGACCTCTTACTCGGCCTGACAGCCACGATTTCAGTGGGCTCTTTGGAACCTTTTCTTGCTCATCATTACTTTCCAGGTATTCAGGCTCAGAGTTTATGTGCTGTTGGTAATTAGAAGAATTCATGTTCAAGCTTTCAGAAAAAAGAAACTTTTTCTTAGTGTCTGCACGTGCCTCTGATTTACAAAGTGGTATCTTTTCCCTCAGGTGCACTTAGAACTACCCCCCAACTCTGCCGTAGTGCAAACTCAAGAAGATTTTAACTTGCTTAAGTCGAGCAATATTAGAAGATATGAAGTCCTAAAAGAGATTCTCACAACCCTTGGCCTAAGCTGTGATATGAGACAAGTTCCTGCCTTAACACCTCTTTACTTGCTGGTGGCCACGGAGGTGAGTTTGTGGGCCCAGCGGGGAAGACAGTGCCTCAGCGTGTCCCTTCTCCAAGACGGCAACCCTTTCCTTTAATTGTTCTATTTCTGTTGGTTGTGATTTTGATTTCTGTTTTGACTTTGGGTTTGGAAAACATCTTAAGGATGTACAAGTATCATTCATTTCGGGGGAGTTTGCGTAAGGCAGGGAGAGACCGTTTGAATCTGCAGGTTGTGGCTCTTGCCACTTTGGGTGGAGGAGGAGCCCCTGTTTGAGCTGTCAAGAGCATATTTGGAAATCATGATTTGTTCATTTGGGATTAAAAACATTTGTTTTGATTGGGGTCGTTTTTCAGTAGATCTTTGGACGGGAAAATCACAACTTCTGTTTGATTTGTGCTGATGTCTGCCATCTTGTGGCAAAAGGGGTCTGGGTTTCAGTTCCTGTCTGAGTTGTCTCTAAAAGGAAAATGCCACGGAGTTGGGGATGTAGTCGGGGATTCTCTCGGCCTGTGTCTGGGTTTGCTGCCTGTACTGGATGCCTAGTTTTGGGCAGGTGGCCAGAGTCTCCAGGTCTGTGTTCTTGCTAACCCCCTTACTTTGCCACGCTGTCAATTTCTTATTCGTTGTGACAAATTATTTTGTGGGTCTATGTGTTGTCTGCTCTGGACAGGCAAATTTGTGAATTTAGTGATGTAACCATGCAGTTTCGCGAATACCTGGTAGTCCAGGTGACTTTAAACATTGAACTTCCCTGCTTTACCTTGAAAAGGACAAAGTATAATACCCCTCACCCCAACGTTTTTAAAAGAGGGGGCATTCTCTTCGGGTTATGCTCTGTCCCGTGGCAAACTTAGCTTTCGGAGGAGAGCAGAGCTGTGAGTGGTCTGGGTGCGATGTGCTCACTTGGAGAAGACGGATACAGAATCTGAGAGCATTTTTAGGATTAGGATACCTTATAGGATTGTTTGAGAACTAGATGAAATAATATATGTGAAAGTTCTGTATAAATTATATTACTTAAACGGTAGTGCAATTATTATTATTATTATTTGATTGTTGGGAGGTTGAATGAGTAAGGTATGTATAATGCGCCTAACAAATGCCTGGTACCTTGTCTAAAAAGATGACAGGTAATGTTTATAATTTTAAAAATTAATGTAGCAATGGATGATTTTGTTTTTAATTTAAGAAACATTTTTTTATTGCATTTTCATCACACAGTCTTTAGCCAGTTGGCACTGTTTTGATGAATGCTCTTGGGAATTAATGGTATGACTTTTTTTGCACTTTCATCTTAGGAACATAAAGCTTCACATCATTTATCTCTGTTTTTATGTATTCAGTTAATAGGAAGAAAGGCATCACCTCTGTCTTGTGACTTATAAAAAGATACCAAAATAAAGCTGGTCCTCAGAGCTTTAATCCTTATGGACAACTACCTTGGAGGAACAGCGCAGGGCCATGTGGGTCAGGGTGACTAATCTCTAGGGGACTGGGACTGTCACTCTCCTGGACCTTCTCTGTCCATGTTTCCTGAGCGTGGAGGGCTGAGGCTGGACACGTGAGCAAGCGTCTGCCTGCTCCAAGGCTCCCAGCCCGGGAGGTCAGGGAGCAGGAGAGCCTGCCCTTGCCCTTGGCAGTGCTCCCTGTCAGTGCTCCCTGCTAGTGCTCCCTGCCAGTGCTTTCCCAAGACTGACGATGGTCTTGGGACTTGGACCTCTGGACTCTGGGACAGCAATGAATAGGAAAGAGTGGTTGTTCTCCTGTGAGCAGAAGTTTGGAACTCTAGGCTCTTCTGGTGTATCCTTTAGGCTGGGCATAACCCGAAGCACCTAAGTAGAGGCTTTGCATACGTGTCTGTTTATATTAAAACACAAAACAGATGCTTCACATCTTTGTCCTTCCAGTTCTTTGAACTGCCCAGGGCAGTGGGGGTGATACATTTTCACCTGTTAATTGATCGACTGGGGGAGCATTGATTCCTTCATTCACAAACCATGGGAATGAAATGCTTGGACATGATTAAAACAAGGATTTGCTCTGTATACTCCCCACCAAGCCCCTTATTATAATACACCGTAACTTTGGAAAATAATTATTTGCAGAAATGTTCATTTCCTATTTGGGGTCTTCCATTTGATCTTGTTGATTTTCTTGGATATCTATGCTGTGGACTACTTTTTTTTTCCTCTTAATTGTTCATTTCAGACTAAATTGTTTTACTTTGGGAGCCCGGGGAACCAAATGAGTGTGCGTATGATTATTGTACATATCCTCAATTTCTTAATGTTTACTAACTCTGCTTAGAAGACCTTGTATCTGCTGCAGAAGGAAATATCAGAATTCAGGGTTTTACTATGTTTTCCTGGAATACAAGTTCTGTAAAGGATTATCGTGCAAATGAATTTGAAGGTAGATTCTTACCAACTGAGATAGTCTTTCTGGAGGCAGCTGGACGATTCCTCTTGATCTTGTCCTGATTGCTCAGTATTTATAGATATGGACCATGGAGATTGGGAATAGAATTGGGTTTGTACTTTCTACTTGGTTTTCTTTCCTGTAGCCCTGCTTAATAGATCTCATTGATCTTCATGGAATTAAGTTGTGGGGAGAAGATCTTGGCCCCCAGCCATCTGTTAGACACTGCCCACCCATCTGTTCACTCATCACCTGCCTTGTGGGTTAGGTGCCCGGACCTGCTTTCTGCTGTGTCTGTGTCAGATACTCTGTTGCTGGGAATCACCGATCTCTCACCACAAGGTGTCACTGCTGGGCTAGGCTGCTGGGCATACAGAACCCAAGAACTATAAAGTAGTTCTTCAGAGATTTAATTTTTTCTCTCTCTATCCATTTCACATAATATAATTTTGTAGTTTTCCTTTATACTGGTAGCACTTTTTTGGGGAAGGTCTGTAGAAATTATTTCAATCTCCCAGTTAACAATGTTCGTTTTTCATTCAACATTTACTGTGTCCTAGGTACTATTATAACATGGGATATGAAAGAACAAAATAAATACACCAGTTATCTAAATAGTTTTACTGCATACCAGCTGTGTTTACACAGTTCTGTGCCTTGACACTTGCTCTTTATGGTGAATAGCATAAAAGATTTATGAAGCACCTATGTGCTTCTATATTACTGTGATATGAACGGAAAAGAATAGCACCGTGATCCAAGTCAAAAAAACACTCACCTGAGGTCTAGTTGACCCGTGGAATTTGCTAGCATTGTGTTCTGGAACCTTCGGTCATACCCAAACACCATGGTAGCATGTGGTTCCTGCTATTAATTCAGTCTTGTACAACTTCATGATTGTCACTGTGTGTGACAAGAAGAAGCAGGGCTCTGCTGAGGTGCAGCTGGGCAGCTGAGCTGGGCGGCTTCCTTCTGACCAAGGTCTTCACGTTTCATCTACATTCCCTGCGGCAGGATTGAAATTCAGGCCTCAGCAGAATTATGATAACCTAAACCGTAAAACACATGAACGCATGTATACCACATGCCTATGTCTGTAGAAACAAAACTAGAAGGAAATCTAGCATATATAGGGCATATTTCTGGGGGAGGGCTTAAGGATGATTTTCATAATCTTTTTACATTATATTTCCCACATTATCTATAATGGATGTATATTAATTTAATAATGAGCCAAACCAGTTATCAAAAAATAAAAAACAAATTCAAAAAAGTTATTAGACGTTGACAGCATCTTATAAGTGGTTAAATTTGAGTGTTAAAAGGCAGGGAATCTCGTATAGGTATTGATATTTTGGTTAATGTTTGTCAACTATATTGTCTGAAAAGGTTTTGCTTCGATAGTAAACCCCTTGACTGTGGTAGGTGGCTTGTTGCAGCTGTGACTTGGGTTTAACTGTGATCTCTCCTAGCATGTGGGTGCTTGGGGGCTGCCGCTCTCCCTTTGCCCTGGTGGGTGGAAGGTACCACTGGTGTTGATTCATAATTCTGGTGCCCCATCCCTGCTTGGGTGCTCCAGTTTCTTGGTCTCAAAGACCACACGCATGTGACCTCTACACGCTTCCTTTCCTCAGGTGCTGATGAGCCATAGGTGGATGGGCCACATGGTGACTGCAGGGTGTGGTGGGGCAGGATTACTGGGGGCCACCACGTCAGTCTTCCGCCATTGGTGGGTGGCAGGAAGTTAGCAACACACCTTTACCGTGGGGGGGACATGAGCTAGTGTGTGACAGACACCGATTTTATAGAAAGAACACAATTCTTTCATATTTTATAGAAGCATTTTAATAGATTTTATTTTCTATAAAATTTAATTTTATAGAAAGAACACAATTCTTTCCCAGCTAGGAAACTAGCTGTCTTGTTTCTATTTCTCTGGGTTCCATTTCCATTTTTATCTCTGCCAGGGAGGTGGCAGACAGGAAGAGGGCGTGCTGTGAACCCTCCGGGGGTTCTCGCTGAGAGGGGCAGCTGCTGGACTGGGACCAGCTGGGACCCCGAACCTGTGCATGGGAACAGGGCCAGCTCCCCCTCCGCTGCAGAGTCCCCTGCCCAATGGGTCCCTTTCGGTCCCCTCCATGAGGCCAGAGGGAGGAGAAGAAGGTGGGACATGCCCCCCCTCCGAAAGCCAGCACCGTTGCTGTGGGCCACTGGGGCCATTTTTCAGTGTTCCCTTAGCCTGAGGTTTCCCTCTCGGGATCTGGGGAACAGAAGATTTTTTTCTAAAATAAAAAAGTTTGGGATCCTCTTGGGTGTGCAGCGTGGCTGGTAGCTAATAGAGTGTCAGTGAGCTGAGAAATAGAAGCCGGCTGGACTTTTGGCAGGAGTCCTGTGTCCAGTTACTCTACCCTTGGGATCAAGATGTAACTGTAACAAGAAGTGACAACAGAGTTTGTTATTGAAGTAACTGGGCAGAATCGCCACAATGCGGGGTGTGTGTGTGATTTTGAGTAGTGTGGGAGTTGTGGAATGGATACTATATGCTTAAAAAGAAAACCTAGTTATAGCATTTCATTTTGGTTCAACCCCGAATTTTTACTG